ACTGTGGTGCATGATGTTTGCCGACGATATTGTATTGATTGATGAGACGCAATCAGGTCTTAAAGCAAAGTTGGAAGTATGGCGACAAACATTGGAGAATAAGGGTTTCAAACTAAGTCGGAGCAAGACAGAGTACATGGAGTGCAAGTTTGGTGGAGGTAGAAGTAGTGGTAATAGCGGAATTACTCTGGATGGTAAGGAGATACCGGTCAGCGATATGTTACGTTACTTGGGCTCCATAATTCAGAAGGACGGTGAGTTAGATGGAGATGTATCCCATAGAATCAGAACAGGGTGGATGAAGTGGAAGAGTGCGTCAGGATTTCTATGCGACCGAGGTATGCCGACTAGACTGAAGGGTAAATTTTATAGGACAGCAATTAGGCCTGCATTACTGTATGGCGTAGAGTGTTGGGCGGTGAAACAATGTCACATTCATAAGATGAGTGTGACAGAGATGCGCATGCTGCGTTGGATGTGTGGGCATACTAGGAAGGACCGCGTGAGGAATGAGACAATCAGACAAAGGGTGGGAGTAGCACCTATTGAAGACAAGATGCGGGAGTCGCGTCTACGGTGGTTTGGTCATGTGCGTAGAAGACCGAGTGATGCACCTGTTAGGCGAGTTGAGATGTGTGGACAAGAGGCAGGGAAGAGAGGGAGAGGAAGACCCAAACAGACGTGGGTTAGGGGAGTTCGAAGTGATATGCTTTTTCTGGGGTTGGATGAGGGCATGACTTTGGAGAGAACTAAGTGGAGGGCGGGTATTCACGTGAAGGAGTGATCTTGATAATTTTTTTCCCTCATCTTTTTTTTTCGTAGTTTTTTCTTATCCTTATATATATATATATTTATAAGCATTATTTGCAACCTTTTTATTTTATCATTTATATATATATATATTCATCTTTTTTATATTATCTTTTCATAATAGCCTATCTTTTTATCTTTATTCCTTCTTTTCCTTTTGGTTGTGATATCATGTATCGATTCATGTTAGCCGACCCCAATATCTTTTGGGACTAAGGCTTGGATGTTGTTGTTGTTGTTGTAAAGTTTTAGGGTTAGGGAATCATTTTGATTATTAATTGAATTTTTCAGTACATAAATAAATAATGTTTAATTCATTATAATAAATATATATGATTAAAGATAGAATTGAATAGTAGAAAATGATTTAGTTATTAAAGCTTAGTAGTTTTATGTAGATTAATTCGTCTTGTTTTGACCTTACCTGTTTCTACCGCTAATACGGAAATAGCATTTTGACCAATGAAGCATGTGAAGACGGCACTCCGTAATAAAATGGGAGATGATTTTCTTGAAGTTTCATTGATGATCTACATTGAACAAGATTTTGCCAATAAATAGATGTAGATTCTATTATTGATGAATTTTATACTTTGCAGTCGTATATGACACAACTTAAATGATGTTTTGATGAATATTTAAATGGTTGACAACTTGACTTATTATTAGGAATATTAGGTATGTGTATTTCAATTTTTTCTCTAGCCCACCTCATTGTAACTTTCTGGATCCGCCCCTGAACACGATAAAACAAAAAACAACAAAAACAAAAAATTAAAACTATGTAATGAATAAGCATACTTAATTTAGATTACACATTCATGATCAGGGCTACATTGTAATATGATCATTGTTATAAAAATACAATTGAACAAAATTTATAGTATACATTTACAAGTAAACTGAAAAAGAAAACAAGTCATAGCCAAGTGGCAGGTTAGATCCCAGTCAGTTTCCGGTACACATAAAAACAGCATTCCCAACACTCGATTGGTTGACACTACCATACATCCTTGATGATGCCTAACTTGAGCAAATGTACCATCAATGTCAGTGACATCCACTATTCTAAAAATCGGCCTAGTGAGACTGATTAATCGGCCTAGTCCGCTTAGTCGGTCCTAATTGGCTAGTCGGCTAAAAAACGGCCTAATCGGTCGTCTAGGCGCTAGGCGCTCCTCAACTTCCCGACTAGCGCCTAGAGAGTTTTAGAACAATGGTGACATCTAAATGAAATGAAGAAACATACGTCAATATTGCAAGCCCAAAAAATTGACAACCGCAAGACCAAAATTAGTGTGAACATCTTGAGTTATGCTAGAGGTACAAACACTTTTACAAAAAGTCTTACAAAAAGGGTATGTTGCATCATCACATTATTTAACATATCACATCACATTTACAACACTTTTACATCAATGGTAATTAGAATAGCCACATCACTTGTTTGTAAGTTTTTTTGTAAGTGTTTGTACTTCTAGCATTTTTAGAACATCTTTCTATGTAATTTGTACAAACTTTTCAGTGTGATATAACAAAACATTTTGTTCAAAATCATCCGAGAGAAGAATATTTTGAGATTTTACATCTCTATGAATGATTGGTGCTGAATTGAATTGTGTTGATTCCATCTTCCATGCCAATCAAATGACTTCCCAATGTTTTGTGTACCTAATTCAAAACATTGGTTATTCAAAATTATTATTAAAAAATTATAGAAACTACAGAAACAAGCTTTTTCAAGTAATAAATACCATGAAAATTATCTTCAAGGTTTTTTCCAGTTAAAATATCATAGATCTAGGATAAAGCCTTTCCTTCCAACCTATTTTGGAACAGCCCTTAGCCTCCGCAATTACATATGTCCCCTCCTTAGAACTCTCATGAAGATATTCCAATATTTTCTTTGATTACTCCATTTCCTTTGCAGTTAGGGCCCTATTTTATTCATTCCAAACATTGAAAAACTAAGCAACTAACATCTAGGACCCCCCCCCCCCCCCCCCCCCCCAAATTCCAAGTGAGAGCAAGTTAATTTAAAAATAGAACATATCAAATGAAAGGTTAAACTAAAATTTATTACATTGGACGAAATAGAGACTAGAGGAGAAAAAATCACATAACTAATCAATGCATTAGGTGGGAGCTAGAGCAATGACATTGTTACTAGAATATAATGGTGTAGCTTGATATGACTTTACAGGAACAAAATTAGCCAGGTTTTCACATTCCTTGCCCTGATTATGATATGTGTAAAATTATAGTCAAAGATTGACAAATCATTATATAAAGGGAAAATGGTCAAATAGGTCCCCGAACTTACATAAAAAGTTCAAATAAGCCTTTATAGAGGAGGCTATGTCCGGTCATCACCATTTGGGACAGTTCCAGGTGGATTTTTTTGATGAAATGTTTTGAGCATCTTATTCATTAAGTCTAGTTTACGCATACCAGATTTCAGCTAACCATTCAATCGTAAAGGCATTAAAATGAATTCTTGAAGATAATTGCGCTTTTAACTGCGCAGTTATCTTCAAGAATTCATTTGAATGCCTTCCCGATTGAAGTCTTAGCTGGAATTTGGTATGAGTAAACTAGACTTAATGAATAAGATGCTCAAAATATTTCATCAGAAAATTCCAATGGAAACTGCCCCAAATGTCGACGGCCGAACAGAGCCTCCTATGTAAGAGCTTATTTGACCTTTTTATGTAAGTTCGGGGGCCTATCTGGCCATTTTCCGTTATATAAACGTCTTCGGTTAAGCATATAACACATACTCCGTATAAAAGAGTGGTAGATCCCTCTTTGCATATTTTGCTTTTGACAACCAAGAAGATGAGCGCATAAGCGCCTTTCAGGCAAAGTATCTCTGTATTCCTGTAAGCACCATAACTATCCTAGTTCCATTTCGTTGATGTCTGAAGGATATTTTCTTCAATATTGCCGAGGTATTTATGTCAAGTCTAGATCACCTACATCAAAGATGTCTATTTTATCTTGAAACATTTACTTTTTTTTCTATTTTTTGAATGACAATGTTAATAAAATTGTCCAAAATGAAAATAGTTTTAATAGTAGGGAGGAAATTACAGGTGTATGGTTACATATATGAACATCTTCTCCAGATTCCGATGTAATCTTCACAGACTGAGTTGAAGTAAGGTCACCATCTAAAAAACAAAAGTAGAAAATATTATTTGAACTCACGCACATAACGGCAAATTGTATCATCATAAATACAAGTGATGGTTACCGCTATTAATTATTGTTCAAAACTGTAAAATATTTTGAATTTCACAATATTTATGAATTACACATATTTATATCCAATAAAAAGAAACTTGAATATGAGAAATGGGAATTGATTTAGTACATTGGATATGAGATTGAATGACTAAAATTTTCAACAATGGATCAAATTAAGCCAAAAACCATGATAGCAATATCGTAATTAAATGAACTTGATTTCTTAGTACATTGTACAGTGTAACATACGAACATAAAAGTGCAACGTTGAAAAATGAGAGTGATAGAGTATATCTCTAGAGAGAAGTGAGAGCTAGAGAGAGAAGTGCAATAATATGCTTCAATAGAATGAATTCGTAACCCCTATAACTACTCCCAAGGGGAGTATTTATAGAGAAAATTAGGGTTGGGCTCCCAAGCCTTGGGCTTGGGAGGCCCATTTACAACTGGACCGCTACTGGGCCGAATACAAAACCACTAATGGGCTGTACAAATGAGTAAGTATAAAATCCGATTCTGTGAGGTCTTCGTGGCCGACGAGGGCGTGGCCGACGAGGGCACGGCCGACGAGGGCACGGCCGACGAGGGCACCCGGGTTCCTTGGACTCAGGACCATAATCCGAGTTGGCCCCTTTTCGGCCGACGGGGGCGTCCTGGCCGACGAGGGCGCCACTCTGTGCCTTGTGCTTTCTGTTCTTCCGAGTATGTGGGTCCGGGGGCTCAAACCCATATACTCCATCACGAGTCCCCCACTCTCTAAACTGAGACGTAGACGAAGTGAAGGAGAGTAGATTCCTATGCTTTGGTGCCCTTGACCGTTATCTGTTCCTTGTTGTGGACAGGGGGGCCGTTGTTTACTTGATGTCATTGTTTTTGGACGATGAGTGTCCTTCTTTCAATGGTGGCCGTTGAAAGGCACGTTTTGCTTGGGCGTTGATGGTTGAAGTTTGTGTTCGGGCCGATGAGGCCACTGAAGTTATTCCTTGCTTTGAGGACGATGGCGTCCTTTCCTTTGGGTGGCCGATGAGGGTGTTTGCGCACTCCTTTTGGCCGTTGCTGGTTGGCCTTCGTGTTCTTGGCCGAAGGGAACGTCATGATTAATTGTTGGCGGAGGACGATGAGTGTCCTTGCCTCTAGTGGCTTGTTGGCCGTCGCTAATGACGTTATGGGCCTTTGGCCGATGAAGCTTCGTTGTGATGTATGGATGATGTGGCCATGCTTTGTGGTCACATTCATGTTCTTTGTAGTGTTTCCTTTTTGTTTTGCTGAGGCCGGTGTAGTCCCCCAGTCCCCCACTGCTTCAGGCCGAGGAGTGTGAGGGGTGAAGGAGTTGCTTGAGTCCCTGGCCGAAGCGGCCTCTCCGTAGTCCCCCTGAATCCAACTCTCATGGCGATTTTCTGGCCAAGGTAACCCTGTGGGAGAACCCTTGTGCGCAGATCGCTTGTAGAGAGTTATCATCAAAGATCACGACGAGGAGCCGATGGCTTGTGGGCTCTTGGGTCCTTTGATCTTGTGGCCGTTACGTTCCTGGCCGTTGCCGTCTCCTTATTGTTTGGCAGTTGTGATCTTGGCGAGCAAGTGGGACGTTGTGGGCGCTTGCTGACATTTGTAAAGCCAGTGAGCGTGTGTAGGCCGTAGAGTCCGTCCTGCTAGTGGGCTGTTGATATTGAGTTTGGCCCGTTGGTGACGTGGTGGCCCCCCATTGGTGGCCGTTGGTGTGGCCATTGGGGGGTGCCACGTGTAGTGACCGTTGGGTGGGAGGTTCTATAAATACCCCTCCCCCTCCGACGAGAAAATGTATTTGCATTCTGAATTTGTCGAAGTGCTGGCCGATTTTCTAGAGAGATAAACTCCCAAGCCTGTTCTTCGTGTTCTTCGTTGTTCAAGGTTAGTGTTCATCGCGATCTTCCTCACTTTTCATACTTTGCTTCCTAGGTTGTTGATCTAGTGTTAGGCGTTTGAACACCCTTAGATCTTAAGTTAGTCTCCTTAGGCCCGTAGTAGTAGTTATGAAGAGCTTGAACGAAGACTACTACCCCTACGACGACCAGCCCTCCACGAGGTCGCTTGACTACGAGGTGCTCGAGGAGTTTGAAGAGGAGATAGAGCGTTTAAGTCCCTACAAATCCGGAGAGCCGGTGGACGAGGAAGGCGAGGACGAGGAGTCCGCCTCCTCTTCAAAGGGTGAGGACGTAGGTGCGTCCCGAGTGGTGGACGGGGCATCCACTTCTGCTGTCATTCCGTGCCCGAGGCCGGTGTCTGCCGTGAAGGGAGCAGCTAAACCGAAGAGGGTGAGGAGGCCGAAGAATGGGCCGGGCCTCTCCTATCTGGACCTCACCAACATATTCCTGATCAAGCCGGAGAGCAGTGCGGCTGACTATCTTGTTGCCCAGATGTATGTGGGGCCGTTCGGGCGGGTTAGGGCACCCAGGCCGACGGACCATGTTCTACTTCCGCCACCGGGATACTTTGGAGTATACCCGATGAGTTTTGCTAAGGGGTTGAGGTTCCCCCTTCACCCTTTCATCATTGAGTATCTGGACATGGTGGGGCTTCCTCCGGCCTTGCTGACGCCGAACAGTTATTCCTTGATGGTGGGCTTTTTACTCCGGTGTGAGGAGCTGGGCTACAGGCCGACAACGGCCCTATTCATGAATTTGTACAAGATCGGCCGAGGAAGCCACAAGAACTGTGCGGCCTATGCTACTCTTCAACAGCTGCCGAAGAAGAGGAGCTTCACGGATTTGCCTACGTCCATTCATGGGTGGAAGAGCAAGTTCGTGTTTGTGTCCATTGGTGAGAGTGGCACCGAGTTCCCCTCTCTCGGCCATACCTGGAGGTTCAATCTCCATGACCCGCCGAAGAGCTCTATCTTGGATGCTCAGGTGGCGGCTTTCCTGGAAGGGGGGCCGAGGAGCGTGAAAGATTACGTTACTGAATATAAAATGACCGCCCTCGGCTTCTTCAGATACCACCTGTATGGCGATAAGGAGGATGACCTCCAACTCTGGCCGAGGATGACCACCACATTTGAAGAGGCCGACGGCCCGGATTTGGGCATTCCTGCTGAGGCCGATGGTAATTATTTCTTCGACTTTCTGTTTTTATGTTTTTGTCCTTTGCCTTACTAATCTGTTGTGTTTTTCCTTTGTAGATTTTGCCATGGACCGTCGTTCCATAATGGCTATTGCCAAGGCCAAAGCGGCCGAGGAGTTGGCTGCCAAGGCGGCCGAGGCGGCCAGACGTGCCGCGGCCGATGGGAGCGGGGCTACTGCTGATGCGGCCCCAAAACCTGCCCCATCAAAGAAGAAGAGGCCGGCCACTGACGGCCAGAAAAAGTTGACTGATGCCGGCCTGAGCGTCTCTAAGAAGACGAAGAGGGCACCTTCCCCTTCTCCGGCTACCGAGGCCGGTACTCTGGCTGTCTCCAGCGTGGACGATAGTGGTCCTGTCGTGGACCTTACTGCTGCTGGCAATGCTGCCCCATCACTACCTCTCGTCCAGGAGCCACGGACGAAGAGGGCCGGCAAGGAGATTGCCGGTGCCACCTACCAGAAGATGGTAGAATACCCCGTCGGCGGGGGTGTCTTCGATGACGTCGTCCTTGGCCATGACGTCCTGGCACAGGCCATGCCGGCCAAAGATCGGGCTTACTTGAGGAAGCTCGGGGACGTGAATGTTTATGAGGGCGGCATGGACCTCCTCGTCCAAGTAAGTTACTGTCCTTTGTAAGTGTTGTTTTTTTCTCGTCGTCCGTGTGAAACCATTTGCCTGACTTTTGTTTCCCTTGTTTCTGCAGAGTGCCTTCATGCTTATGGAGAGCCACAAGAGGCAATACCGAGAGATAGCTCACTTGAAGGAGCTGGAGCAGAAGGCCGCCTCGGCCGACGAGGCGGTAGCTTGCCTGGACCGGCTCCGGGAGGATGCCAGGGCGTTGCAGGCCAGGGCCGATGAAGCCGCCGCAGCCAGGGACGATGCCCTGGCCAAGCTCGAGGAGAGCAAAAGGGAGCTCGAGGAGTCCCAAAGGGCCCTGGAGGCCGAGCGGCGCAAGAGCGAGGAGGCCGTCAAGGCGAAGGCGGAGGCCGAGGTCGCCGTTGTGAGGGCTGCTGACGAGGCCGTCGAGAAATTCCTGGCCGAGGGGTGGAAGGCCGATGAGAGGCTCCCCTGGTGCTACGAGGTGGTGGCCGCCAGGCTTGAGAGTTGGGGGATGAACTCCCCCGCCGGCCAGGAGTATTTCAGCCGAGAGATGTCCGTGTATTATAACCTTGGCCAGGAGCGGATGCAAAGGCTCCTGTGTCGGCGGCTCTCTCGTGCTTTGAAAGCCATGAACTATACGTCTGGGTGGGCTAGACGGAACCTGAAGCTGCCGAAGCTGATGAAGGATCCAGAAGAGCAGGCAAATCTTCCGTTGTTGGAGCGGGAGTCCCCAATTGAAAGCTCCGGCCTTGGCGAGCCGGATTACACCGAGTTTGATTTTTTGGACGATGCCACAAGTGCTGCAGCCACCGCCGGCCAGGAGGCTGAGGCCGAAGAGGGAGCAGACGAGACCGAAGAGCCAGCCGCAGATGGAGGTGCTCCAGAGGCCTGATCGGCTACTCCTTTGTAGTTAGTTTTCATTTTTGCCCAAATGATGTAACGGCCGAAGAGCCCACCTTTGTACTGAATTTAATATATATGAAAATATTTTGCTGTCCTGATCGGCTTTGAATTCCTTGCATGCTTGTTTGCTATTTTTTATTTTAATTCCGAAATTTGTCTAAGTGTCAAGGTCATAACTTGGGTGACCCGGGAGTGTCCGCTACGTCCGTGAGGTCGTCCACCCTGTCCGGTGGCCTGGTCGGCTTGTTTGTCGTTGCTTTACTACCATAACACTTAGGATTTTTTCAGAAAATTTCCTAAGTGTTTTGGGTTCACTTGGATGCCTTCTTCCCGGTCTGGTGGCTTGGTCGGCCTGACCGTGTTGATGTAGTATCATAACACTTAGGATCCTTTCGAAAAATTTCCTAAGTGTTTTTGGGTTCTTACAGTTGCTTCCTTGTGGCCTGGTGGCCTTGTCGGCTTGGCCGGTGGTTCTTGGCTACCATAACACTTAGGATTTTTTTTCAAAAAAGTCCTAAGTGTTTTGGATCCCTTTAGGTGCTTCCCTTTTCAGCCTTGACCGTGGTGTCCGCTCCGTCCGGGCCTTGGATTCATCATTTTTGACAAATGCTCTGGGAGATGTCCCAAGTGTTTGAGCCAGTGTCATTGTCGGCCTGCATCCTTTGTGTTGTGGCCGATAAGGGCACCTTAACCTTGAGCTTTTTGAACTTAGAATTTTTCTAAGTACACATGCAGAGGTGTGGGTAGATAACGGCCTTGGAGTATACTGGTACCCGCTTCGGCTAGAGTTCCTTCATTTGAGTACTTAGGTAATTTTCTAAGTATAAATGTGAGGCATTTACTTCTTTGCTTGTGGCCGATGAGGGTGCTGGATAAGGAACGGCTTGTCCAAGGAGATGGTCCTACCTTCGTCGGCTAGCCATGGTTCCTTGTTGAGGAACCCTCTCTTTTCTCAGGATTTTTTTCTAAGTGTTTGGGAAACACTTAAACGAATCCCTAAAGAACTTTCGCTTGACCAACAGCCCTGGTTCCAGTGCCGGCGTCGGCCATCCGAGATGCTGTGGCAAGTAGAGGTTGTTTCTTTATTGCTTGATCCTTTCGCGGGTGTGATGAGTGCCCGCTTCATCCTGGTCATCCTCAGGATTGCGATGCTTTGTTTCATACCAAGCGTTGGTGCCTCAAAGGACTATGGCCGATGAAGGTCACCTCTCGCGTGTCACCCAACCGATGCGGTTAGGGTTTTATAGGCGTGTGTATCGGCCTTGATTATTCCCTTGTAGTGTGTGGACGTGTCGTCCATGTTGCCTGTCAGTGGTACTACACTTGTGTTCAACTGATATGTACTTGGCCTAGTTGGGCCTGAGTTGTGGGGATTTTATTTTTTCATTGCTCGAGGCCGGAAAGTGTGCACGGCCGTCGGCTTCCCTCTTTTTCCCTTGTATGTTTTTTTTTTGTTTCGGGGGGTATCCTTCTTTCAGGCTTCGGCCGAAGGGTGTGCTCGTCCTTCGGCCGGTTCGGACTTCGTTTATAACGTCCGTGGTCTCAGGGCGGGTCTCGTCGCCTATTTATGACGCGGGCTAGACTTTTGGTCGGTTTCCAACGGCTGTCGTTGCCCATCCCTGAGTTTTGGGATTTTGTCACCTCGGCCATGATTTCAGGCCTGTCGTCCTGCGTTCTGGCGCATGGACGACGCGGTGAGCTTCCCGTTTCAAGACGTGGGCCGTTTGCGGGCCCTTCGTCCTGGGGACATCGTCGGCCATACCTGAGTGTTTCACTTCTAGGCTTACGGGGCCATGACGATGTGCTCTCTCAGCTAGGCCTGAGCCCTTCGCTGATACAAAATACAATGGAGTGCCTGAGCTTGTCGCTCGTAGGCTGCAAATGCAAGGGGCCATGTCGGCCAGACCTGAGCCTTTCGCTCTAAGGTGGCCGACGAGGGCACCTGCTAATGTTTTACTTTGAATTTCCAGAGAAAAAATCAGAACATGATTTTATTCATAAGTGGCTCGAGGCCGAGGGTGGCGTTCAATCAGTAACCCGTTAAGGGGTGAGGGCTTCGCCGTCTACACCTCCTTCGGATTACTGATAAAACTTCACCAGATGGTGTACATTCCATGTTCGTGGTACATTGGACCCATTCGGGCGTTTAAGCTTGTAGGTGCCGGGTTTGACCACGGCACTGACGATGTAGGGCCCTTCGTACTTCAATGCTAGCTTGCCACCCTCTGTCGGCTGGCTTGCTTCCCTCCGGCGGAGGACGTAGTCCCCCACCTGAAATTCCCGGGAACGTACCTTGGCGTCATAGTATGATTTTACTTGACGCCGGTAGTTCTCTGCTCGGACGTAAGCTTGCTCACGCCTCTCGTCAACCAGGTGTAGGTCAATCTTCTTGTTCTCTTCGTTGGTGTCAGGCTCATATTGTTGCACCCGTCGGCTGGGGATGGCAACTTCCGTGGGCGCCTTTGCTTCAAAGCCGTAGCACAGGGCGAAAGGCGTTTCACCTGTCGCCCTCCTCGGCGTGGTTCTGTAGCACCACAGGATGTTGGGGAGCTCGTCGACCCAACTACCTCCTGCGGCCTGGAGCTTCTTCTTCAACCCCTCCATAATTGTTCTGCTAGCGTTTTCGACCTGCCCGTTGCCCTGAGGGTAGGCAACGGAGGAGAAACGATGCTTTACCTCAAACTCCCGGAGGAGCTCTTGGAAAGGGGTTGCCTCGAATTGGGTGCCGTTGTCTGATATGATCTCCTGGGGGACGCCAAAGCGTGTGATGATGTTCTTGTAAACAAATTTTTGGCATCTGGCCCCCGTGATGCTTGCCAAGGGCTCCGCCTCGACCCACTTGGTGAAGTAGTCGACGACGACGATGATGTAGCGGTTATTCCCGGCGGCTCTGGGCAGGGGGCCGACCAGGTCAATCCCCCATCTGGAGAATGGAATTGCGGTGCTGACGGGGGCGTAGTTGACAGCTGGCCGACCAGGGGCCTTCTGGAGTACCTGGCATGTGGTGCACTTCCTGGCCAAGTCAGCGCAGTCGCGTGCCATCGTCGGTCAGAAGAAGCCCTGGACGACGAGACGCCGGGACATGCTGAAAGGGCCCTGGTGTGAGGAGCAGACGCCACAATGAACCTCTTCCATGGCTGTGTCGGCCTCATCCTGGTGCAGGCATCGGAGGAGAGTTCCATTATAGGACCGTTTGTAGAGTTTGCCATCTTCGATGGTGTAGCTTGGGGCCCTGAGTTTGGCAAGTTTGGCCCTCTCCTCGTCCGGGGGCAGCTCCCCCGTTGTGATGAAGGTGGCGATGTCGGAGATCCAGTCCTCTGGTCGCTGTTGGACGCATAAGATGGGGCTGGCATGGATACTGGACATGCTCAACTCTTCGATTTTGGCCAACTGGGAGATGTGTTACGGGGTGTCCGAGCTGAGCTTGGAGAGGATGTCGGCTTCGGCGTTCTCGGCCCTTGGGATCTGAGTGATCTCGTGGGTTTCAAACGCTTTCAGCAACTCCTCCGCCGCTTGTTTGTACTGCTTCATCCGGCCTTCCTTTGCTTCATATGATCCCTCCACCTGGCCCACTACCAGTTTGGAGTCGCACCTGATTTTGAGGTGCTTGGCCTTGAGGCCGGCGGCGAGTCTGAGACCGCTGAGGAGGGCCTCATACTCGGTCTCGTTGTTGGATACCCTGAAGTTGAAGCGGATGGCATAGTATGCTCTGAATCCTTCAGGGGATATGAGGACGACGCCGCCGCCACATGATTTCGCGGCCGACGAGCCGTCAGTGAATAGGGTCCATGCATCGTCTTGTTCCGGCCCGGGGTTGGCGACGGCCGTCTCCCTTGCTGTGCACTCGATGACGAAGTCGGCCAAGGCTTGCCCTTTGATGGATGGCCTTGGCTTGATCTCAATTTGAAATTGGCTGAGGAAAATCGCCCATTTCACCATCCTAGAGGAGCTGGTGGGGCTCCTCATGAGTGCGCCGAGAGGCTGCTGGGTCAGTACATGGACGGCGTGGGCCTGGAAGTAGTGCCCCATCTTCTTCACCGTGTGGACGATGGCCAGCACCGTCTTCTCAACGGGGGAGTACCTGAGCTCGGCCTCCCTGAGTGTCTTGCTGATGTAGAAGAAGGCTTTCTGCACCCCTTCGTCCTCACGGATGAGCACGGAGCTGATGGCCGACGTGCTCACCCCTAAGTACAAGAAGAGGGTTTCGCCGGCTCTGGGCTTGGAGAGCACGGGTGGGGACGACAGGTACCTTTTCAATTCGTCAAATGCCTCCTGGCACTCTGTCGTCCACTTGAAGCTGATGGCTTTCCGCATGATCTGAAAGAAAGGGAGTGCCCTCTCGGCTGACCTGGAGAGGAACCGGTTTAAGGCCGCCAGGCGCCCCGTCAGTCGCTGTACCTCCTTGACGTTGCGGGGCGGCTCCATGTTGATGATAGCCTGCGTCTTCTCCGGGTTTATCTCGATGCCTCTCCGGCTGACCATGTAGCCGAGGAACTTGCCGCCCTGGACGCCGAAGGCACACTTCTTGGGGTTGAGACGGAGCCTGAACTCCTTCATTATTTCAAAGATTTCCCGGAGGTCGTCGGCGTGGGAGGTGGCCTGCCTGCTCTTGACGATCATGTCGTCGACGTACGCCTCCATCGTCCAGCCAAGGACCGCTCTGAAGATCTTGGCCACCATCCTAGTATAGGTGGCGCCGGAGTTTTTGAGTCCGAAGGCCATGACGAGGTAGCAAAAGATTCCCTCTGGGGTCATGAATGTCGTCTTTTCAGCGTCATCTTCATGCATGGAGATCTGGTGGTACCCTCTGAAAGCGTCGAGGAACGACATCAACTCGCACCCCGCCGTCTCGTCCACCAGCTGATCAATGTTGGGGAGAGGGAACGGGTCCATGGGGCACGCCTTGTTCAGGTCAGTGTAGTCAACACACATTCTGAACGTCGGCGGTTTCTGGGCGAGGACGACGTTGGCCAACCATGTTGGGTACTTCACCTCTTTGATGTGTTTGATTGAGAGGAGCATGGCGACCTCCCCTTTGACGAAGTCCCGCCTGTCGGCGGACAAGTAGCGCCGCTTCTGTTTGATGGGCGCGGAGGCCGGATCGACGGTCAACCGGTGAGTGATCACTTGGCGGCTGATGCCTGGCATATCGTCCGGGCCCCACGCGAAGACAACGGCGTACGACCGTAGGACGAGGAGGATGGCGTCTCGTTGGTCCAGGGGGAGTTGCTTTCCGACCCTGAGAACCCGCTCCGGCCGGGAGGTATCCAGAGGGATTTCCTCGACCTCCTCGGCCGGCTCCGCATGTGGCCTCTCCTCGTCCATGGCGACGGCGACCGTAATGGTGTCTATCCTTTGTCCTTCCCTTTCGGCCGGCCTCGTTAGCTTGAGGTAGCAAGCTCTGGCTATCCTCTGATTTCCTCTGGCGTAGCCGATGCCGTCATTGGTGGGGAACTTCAA